TTATATTTTTAAAAAATATTATATGATAAATTTGAGATGTAAGAAATATTATTATGTTATAATTATTAAAAAAAATTAAATATTTATTTAAAATATTTTTTAAATTACCTAATCTAATTAATTATCATAATTTAAAATTAATATAACTAAATGTAAATATTAAATAAAAATATATTTAATTTATAAATATTTGATTTTTTTAGAAGAGTAATTATTTATTAAACAAAATATTTTAAATTATTTATTTACGTCAAAATAAATAAAATTATTTATTGTCAAAATAAATAAAATTATTTATTGTCAAAATAAATAAAATTATTTATTGTTATCATAATTTTAAATAATTAATATTTTTTAATTTTAATATTTTTTAAAATATTTATTTTAACATATTTTTATTAAATTTTAATACAGTATAGTTCAATTAGAAAAATAAGTGGAAAAGAAGAGAAACAAGAAAAGTAAGATAGAAAAAAAAATTACATATAAAAAATAAATATGTTATTTTGGTAAATAAATTCATATAAGTTCTATTTTAGTATTTTTTTAAATATATTATTCTTAATATTTATTCAAAATTAAAACACTAAACATATATATTATCATTGACCCAATTGATAATAGATTATATCACTTAGTAATATGAGATTTGAAAATAAATCATATTAAGAAAAACATATCCCCTTATATAAACTTTATATACTAATGGAACACAACATACTAAAACAAAATATATACTAGTAAAAACATAATTACTAAAATTATACACTTGTTGAAATATATGTACCAAAGGATGTCTATATTTTCTATATTATTGATTTTTTTTTCCTTTCTACTCTTTATATATCTATTATTTATTATATATGTGCTAGAGTTTTTTTTTCTTTCTCTTTTTTCTAGTTTTTAAATATATAAATCATAATAATTAAATTTGTTATCTTATTTCTCTCTTTATATCAAGAATGATATATTTGATAAAGATTATATTATATTATAAATGATAAAAAAAAGTTTAAGAAAATAATTTCCTTTATATAATACTAATAAAAACATAAAGCTAAGGTGTCTGCATATCTTTCTATATTATTAGTTTATTTTAAAATATTTTATTTTATTTTTTCTCTCCACTTTTTAGATACATTTTATGTTTTTTTTTTCAATTTTTTCACAGGTATTATATATTTTTTTTCTCTTCTAATATGATAAGTAATATTATATTATAAAAAGCGTTAACGTTATAAATGGTTATATATATATATATATATATATATATATATATATATATATATATATATATATATATAAATTAAAGAATGTTAAAATTGTTAATCATTAATTTTTTAATCTAATGTATACTATAATAATATCATTAGAAATAAAATTGTGATGGATTAAAGTTTAAAGTTAACATAATCTCAAACGTCACAATGAACTCTAACGATATTATTATAATAGATAAGAGATTAAGATACTCTTGTTCTTAAATGAAACATTGACTGTTATAGTAAAACCCAAAACAAAGTCTCGCTCAAATCCTAACTCTTAGTTCTTGACTGAGGAGTATATTTTTGTTATATTCATAAATTTTGCATCATTTACAAGTTAAGACCAAATATAATTTACATATATCATTCTCTCATAAACCCATAGAGACATTGTTTAAAAACAAATCATAATAGACTGAAGTTTAAAAATAAATAATATTTCGGATATGATAATGAATTATAACGATATTATCATAATGATGGATATAAGATTGAGACATTTTTATTCTTTGATAGAACATTAATACTCATCGTAAAACCTAGGGATGATAATTAAATTCCTACCCATGGGGATCGACTCATCCCCAACCCGAGTTTGACGGGAAAAACCCGAGTTGACCCAGGACAGAGATGGGTAATGCAATCCCACCCCGACCCCATCCCCACCCCCACCCTCGCACCCGTTCCGACTTTATATTTAAATTTAAATTTTAAAATATTAATATTTTAAAAGTATTTTCTTTTCTGTTTTTATTACATATAAGATCATCTTTTTATATTTCACCATTTTTATTTTTCTTCTAGCCACTTTTTAATATTTTTTATCTTTTATATCAATTAATTTGTTACATTATTCTCTCCTACCTTTCTGCTTTTTCACATTTCCTTAATCTTTCCCATCAATTTTTTTTAAAAATCTTTTCAACCAATTTGATAAACATAAAGTTAATTTTTTTTCTTCTTTATCTTTTTCTAAATATTTTACATAAATCTTATTAATAAATAATATTATTTTATTTATAATTTATATTTATTAGGTTTTATTATATCATAATTTTTTATCTTATTATTCTTATTTATCATATATCAAAATTTATCTTAATAAAATAATTGTATTTTAAAATATTAAAAGGAATTTATAATTTAAACTTATATTATTTCGAACTAATTAAATAAGAATTAACTTATTAAATAATTTCTTATAAACTATATATTTCATATTTTTAAATGACATCTTAAAAATGAATTAACTTATATATGTAATCAAATGTGTGAATATAGTATTATAATAATAATAATAATGTTATAAGTATTCAAATATTTGAATATAATGTTATAATAATAATAATGTTATAAATATTCTCTCTCTATATATATAAAATGATTAAATATTTATTTTACATATATATTTTAATATAAATCTAATAAATTAAAAAATATATATTTAATTAATAATAATTATAAATTATAAAATTATAAATATTTATTTATATATAAAAAATACATAGTAAAATTAATTTATTATAAATATAATCATCTTTTTAAAAATAATATAAATCGGGACGAGCGGGGCGGGAACTCGAAACCCAGCGGAGACTTAATTTCTAACATCGATGGGGATCGGGGGTGGGGACAAGGATGGTTAAAAAAGTCACGGGCAGGGATCGGGAAGGCAAAACCCGCCCCCACCCCACCCCGCCCTGTTGCCATGCCTAGTAAAGCGAGAGCAAAGTTTCGCTTCAATCTCATCCCTTAATCCTCGACTGCAAATTATATTCTAGTATACTAATAAGTTCTATATTGTTTACTAATGATTTATATAGAAAAATATGATAGACTAGAGTTTTAAAATATATAGTAACTCTCTTAAACCTAAAAGTTACAAAAAGATCGAAAAAATGGATGGAGTGGTTAGAAGGAATAAATGTAGTAATTAATGAAGGTATGTTGTCTAGGTAGAAGAGTAAAAGTAGTTAGGGTTAAGTTTTTCGAAAAAAAGACAAAATATCAATAAATTGAAAATCGAGGAATTAAAAGAGAAGAATATCGAAAAATTAGGAATGAAAGATTTAAAGAGTAAAAAAAGTAAACATGGATATATCAAGAGGAAGTTACAAGGAATGATCTTTCAACATCAAAAGATTGATGTAGATAGTTAAAAAACAAGTTTCGTAGAATGTGCAAGTTGTTACAAAATGAACGTGTATTAATAAGGTACAATAGTTGCAAGAGAATAACCGTTTAAAAGATTTTAATTTGTAATTTTTATTTTTTATTATTTTCATGGTTATTTTAGTGGTTAAAAAAAACACTACAAACTGGGAACAAGTATTTTTAATGGAGTTCTTTGCAATTTGAATCATTATTTTAGTTGATTTTCTCTATCAATTCCTATTTTATCTTGGTAATAAGTTAAATTTATTTTTATGTTATTTAATTTTTTGCATATTTATTTTTTAATAATTTACTTTTATAATTTTTTATTATTCTTATAAGTTATTTTAAATATTTTAAATTATATTAAAAATAAAAATTGAATGCAAATAATTTTTCGTTAAAATCCACTATATAATGAAATTAGAGTAAAATTAAAAAAATTCAGATAATATTTAAATAATTCAGTGCATAACTTATATTTAATTATATGAAAAAAATATTATTTATACTAAAAATAAATTATAAATTGTATTAATTATATTAAATAGCCAATTATTTACCATACAAACAAACTCAATCATATCGTAACAGTTAGTATTTAAATTTTTTTTATGCAGAGTTTTAATTGATTAAAAACTGATAAATGAGATGAAAATTGAAGGTTTTGGATGGGCGAGGCCAGGCAGAGAGAAGTTTGAAATGGGTAAGAGATGAGTGTGATTTCAGTCAAAAAGAAAGTGGGTCCCAGAAGGATCGTAGGTGGGGCATGAGGATGATGGAAGTAGAAGGCAGTGAAGTGGAGCCTCGGAGATCTTAAGAATTCCCATATCTGGTTCCTTAGCTGGATGCCACTGCCTGCTCACCACCAACCAAGATTCCACTCCACCAAGCCAACGTCTCCATCCAAACAAACAACCTCCCTCTCTTCTTCCTTCATCTTCTCACTCTCCTCTTCAAATCTCATCGCAGTACTTTTTGTTCTATTTTCTTCTGAATACAAATTCTATGTGGTCATATCAACTCTATTTCTTCGAATTTGTAACCGTGACTCCAATTTTAAAATCTTGACCTAATCAACTCATCAAATATTGAGATTATTAACCAAAGAAGTAAACAATGGTTCAACTAAAAATATAGCCATTCCACACCTTCCACCTTCGATAATATATACACATATATATAAAATAAGTAAGAACCCCAATCTTCTTTGTCTAATAAGAGCCTCAATCTTCAGGATATTTAGCAGCACATTCTCCAAAACATACATTTCATTGTGAGCCATGTTAGATTCACCAACCTACAAGTTTTATATTAACTGTAGTAGAGGGCTTCTTAACACACATTTGTCTGACTTCTAATTTAATAAAGTTAACTCCTTCCTTTGTCGGTCCCACATGAACTCGAAGGATGAGAATGTGCTGCTATTGTTCTATATAAGGTTGCTTCTCCCCCCTTGATGACTCCAAATTAGCAGAGCTCAAAATATTCTGCAATTCTTATTTTTTTCTTATTTTTTTTTTTTACGAGAAAGGCTAACCTTTTGACTTTTCCAAAGAAGAGAGTCTAGTAACACCATCCATGGATGGAATTTTCGCTTACATCATTGTCATTTTGCTTACCTTATTTTCATTCATCTTCTTACCAAAACTATACATAAGAAAACCTCAGAACCAAACAAGCGCAAAGCTCCCCCCAGGTTCAATGGGATGGCCGTACATAGGAGAAACCCTCCAACTCTACTCCCAAGACCCAAATGTCTACTTTTCCGCCAAACACAAAAGGTTTCTCACTGTGCTACTTCCATTCTACGCATGCATATATATATTATATAATATTATATTGTTTTTTTTTAATCTTATTGCATGAAAAACGTGTTTGTTTTACAACTCAGATGTGATTTTCATGTTTTGAATATAATTCAAGAAGTTCGCAGTTGTGGTTTTCACATTTTAAGTCTGAATTCTTCCTTATTCTGTGCTAGAAGTTGTGAACGTAATTACCAAGAAAACATAATGTTCGATTTTAGGTTTGGTGAAATATTTAAGACCAACATCCTGGGTTGTCCCTGTGTGATGCTGATCAGCCCTGAGGCTGCACGCTTTGTGCTGGTGACTCAAGCTCACTTGTTCAAACCAACATACCCGAAAAGCAAAGAGCGTTTGATTGGTCCTTTTGCATTGTTTTTCCACCAGGGAGACTACCACACGCGTCTGAGGAAGCTTGTGCAGAGGTCACTTTCTTTTGAAGCACTTCGCAACTTGGTGCCTCATATTGAAGCCTTGGTGTTATCTGGCATGAACTCTTGGGGTGATGGCCAAGTCATTAACATGTTTAAGGAAATGAAAAGGGTAGGTTTTGTTTTCCTGCAACATTGTACATGTGTATCGTTGTTATGTCTGTAGCTTTTATATTAAATTTTAGTTCATTTGACATTGTACCAATGATTGGATCGATTATTATATTATTATTCATCATATTCAAGCACTTGCTTGAGTCTCGCATTTTCTGCATTTTTTATGTATACTTTTACTATAAGTGTGTCATGGTGTGTAATGAGGGTCAATAATTGAAGTGGTCCACCCTTGAATGCTTGCTTGCAGATTTCTTTTGAAGTTGGAATCCTCACAACTTTTGGCCATCTAGAGCCACGTTTGAGGGAAGAGCTAAAGAAGAATTACCGGATTGTGGACGCTGGTTACAATTCCTTCCCTACGTGCATTCCAGGAACCCAATACAAAAAAGCACTGTTGGTGAGTAATACTAATTGTCTTCAACAAATTCATGTGTCGATGTATTGTGCTTAAAAGGTTATAAAAGAAAGGTTGAGACGTGATTTTGACTACAACGAAAAGGTTTTTTTAACTTTTTATTAGGATCACATTTGTTGCATTTGTTCAAAATTTCTTGCAGCATCAAGAATTGTAATAAGGTTGAGTGGAAGTACGAAAAGCTACTCACACACACGTGTGTATATTCTTTGTAGGCTAGAAAGAGACTTGGCAAGATTATAAGTGATATAATCTGTGAGAGGAAGGAGAAGAAATTGGTTGAAAGGGATCTGTTGAGTTGTCTGTTGAATTGGAAAGGTGAAGGAGGACAAGAGTTATCTGATGACCAAATTGCAGATAACATTATTGGGGTGCTTTTTGCTGCTCAGGACACCACAGCTAGTGCCATGACATGGGTTGTAAAGTACCTGCATGATGAACCGAAACTTCTGGAGTCAGTAAAGGTGCGAATATGTAAAGAAAGGGAACTTTAACTTGAGCATTATCTTCTTTGTGAGAAAAAAAGATGCGTAGTATTGTGATGTCTATGTTAGTAATAATGACTATAGTTTGTGGTAATGTTGGCTTTGCAGGTGGAGCAGAAGGCAATTCACAATTCTAATGAAGGTAACCTACCACTGAGTTGGGATCAGACCAGAAACATGAGAATTACTCACAAGGTATGGTCATTCAGTTAAGTTATATAATAAATGCAGTATTTTTTACATATTCCAAGTTACTATTTTATGATAACTTAAAATCAACTATATAACTCACCTTTTATAAAAGCTCTTTCATCTTATTTATCCACAATTGGTCCAACAAAATAAAAAGTAAACTATTTACAAGTTCCTGCTGATTCCAGTTGTTTAAGTAAGTGTTGTGTGAGTTGCTGAGTGACTAATAATGGGAAACTGTGGACTTGGTCAGGTTGTGCTAGAGAGTTTGAGAATGGCAAGCATTATATCATTCCCTTTCAGAGAAGCAATAGCTGATGTGGAGTACAAGGGTAAGAAGAATATTTACCATATATACAAGATTTCAGACCTTTTCTTGGGGGTCCAAAAATGCACCATGCAAAGTGACTAGTATTATGAGCTCTGGTGCTAAATACCACATTCTGCAAAGGCCTAAAGTGAAAACATTCGTTTCAAAACTTATGGTCTCATCTAAATAAATGACTCACATAGAATTTGACACAGGATTCTTAATACCAAAAGGATGGAAAGCGATGCCTCTATTCAGAAATATTCACCACAATCCTGAATTTTTCCCAGAGCCTCAGAAATTCAACCCTTCAAGGTTTGAGGTATGCTGGAACAAGAAAAGAAAACAAAAACAAGAAAAAAACAGTCATACATAACATGCATGGATAAGGCTATTTAATGAATCTTATCATTGTGTAGGGCAAAAGACATTTCATCATTTTGAAACAGGCAAAACCAAATTATTATTCATTTATTCTGTTTGTTCGTACACATAGGTGGCACCAAAGCCCAACACTTTCATGCCATTTGGTAGTGGAGTACATGCATGCCCTGGCAATGAGCTTGCTAAGCTGGAGACACTGATTATGATCCATCATTTGGTCACCAAATTTAGGTACTGTTGTTTAATTAGTAAAAAGAATATACTAAAAAAAAGCAAAGAAAAAGAGAGGAACGAATATGGATTATTATGAACACCAAGGAGAGACAGCTTAAAAGCATCTATGGTAGTACATACTAACTCATGTAAAGTAATGACTTAAAAGGACCCATCCAAATAACAACCAAAATCAATTTCAATATCACACACCATGAAATACATAAGTGTAATAATAATTTTTAAAAGTGTATTTTCATATTCTTGATGACAAACTTTAGTAAGTAAAATTATGTTATTTTCTCTTTTTGTGACACATTCAAAAGTGATTTATAAATTTGTGGAAAAAACTACCCACACTGTAAATAGACTTTTTATACTGAGTTTCAAATCTTGAAGACATTTGTATATTTATACATAAACTTTACATTAAGAAAAAAAAAATTTAAGTTTGTGGGGAAAGTTGTCCCAAAACTCCACCAAATAGATCCGTCTCTGGATAGAATTCTCAAACGATCATTTTCAAAATCACTTTGAATATTCAATTTATTTATAGAGTCTTATAATGTTGAAAGTTGAGGGAAACCTTGACCAGAAGGAGAGTGTAATTTTAAAAATATAAAATAAGACACTGTAATTTAAATATTTCTCTTCTAGGAATAAAAGAAATACGTGCCAACAGAAGAATTTTTGTTATTATTTAGCTTATATTATTTTTTTTATTATTTTCAAGTCCAAGCTATAGATATTGATTGCAATTATATATGTGTTAGGTTTATATGAATAATATTTATAATTTTTCCTATAATATTATCCAATTCAATATTTAAAAATTTAGGGTTATATTGATAATTGTTTATTTATCTATTATATGTAAATACAATTATTAGTTTTGGAATTTAAAAATATGAATATGAAAATGAGATGCATCAATAATTTTTTATGTAATTTTTTAACATAATATATATTCAGTTTTTGCTTTTGTTTATATTATAAAAATATAATTTTTTATCTGATATTTTATCATAAATAAAAAATATTTTTATTCAACTTATAAGTACAAATAAAACCGTCTGTAATAAAAACACACACCAAATTATTATATTCTAAATCATATAAAGGCTGTTATGAGAGTATATAGCATTTCATTGTTAGGGAAAAAATTGTACTTTTAATCATGTTTGTAATTAATTTTTGTATATTACTTTTAAAAGAGTTATTATAGTGTAACAAAATAAATTGTTAAATTAAAAAAAAAAAGTTATGAGGGAATCTGAGTGCGCAGAAGTAGAAATATACCTTTTTCTTGAAAGCATACATGGTGATAAAGGACCCTACTGTAAGAACTAAAAAACTAACACGTTGCTCTGGTGGGGTTGAGTTAACAATTTTATAACACAAAACATCATTACGACGTTTCCTCACATGACAGAACTGTGCATCATTGAGTGTAAAGTTTGTCTGTCAGAGAAAAGTAATGCTGAAATTTCTAAAACAGTGGGTGGGTATATAAATATAATCTAATGGCATAATGAATTATATTGTTAACATAGACATGTATTAACAATATTGAAGAAATAAACAGAAGCTTCAACAATTTGTAGTTTCTGCTTGGAAATAGATGAGGCTGTGTGTAAAGTAGAGCCAAACAGATAGTAAGTGTTGATGGTTGAAAATGAATTCTTGCAACATTTAAAACAAAGGAAATGGGTAATGTTAGTAACACTAAATGTACATAAAAGCATCTATTAACTTAGAGAAAGGTAGATTTTATATAGAAAGGATTTCTGGGCATGCTGGTACAAATGTCATATGTAATTAATGAAAGGCATTGTGTTTGTGTGTACAGGTGGGAAGTGGTAGGATCCAAGTGTGGAATTCAGTATGGTCCATTCCCCTTGCCACTGAATGGACTCCCAGCTAGGTGCTGGAGAGAATCTACCAGCTAGAGAAAACGTAGCATGTGAAGAAGAAGCAATCCACTTTTCAAAGTCACAAAAACCTTTTATCGTTTTCTTTTCCATTTTGACTCTTTAATTTTATTTTTCCATGGTGGGGCACTTCAATAGTTACCCCTCAATCCTTTTCCACCCCTCAAAGAAAGAAGGAAAAGGGGGTGGTGCTTTATTTCTCTCTTCATGCATGAGTTTCAATTATCTTTTTGAGTCAAAAGACTTTTTCTCTGCTCCTCTATGCTTGTGTTATATATTTATATATAGTATGTGCTTCTTTTTAGAATCAAGATTGGAAGCAATAATGCAACAAACTCGCAAACTGTGTGAATTTAATTATATATTATCAGTGCTTGCGAAAGGAAAAAGAAAATGTACCTACAGCAAGAACAATATCTTCATAACACACCGGTGATTCATGTACAGGTTTTGACCTCATGACAAGTAACCAACATGTAACATAACCTGGCTTTCATTATGCTGCAAGAATGCAACGTATAAAGGTGTAATGGTTGGTCACAGTGATTACTGATTAATTATTCAAGATGTTTATTTCCTTTGATTCTATAGATCGTGTTTCTTCCTTGTCAGTTGTTTTTGGTCATGTGAAACACATACTTCTTGTAGTACTACTGTTGATCAAGGACCTTACCAGGATGTAGCATTATAAACCCTTTTCTCACTGTACTGTCTCTTCTGGCAATGTTTTGATATTTTCTTAAAGAGGGGACCACTGTTCTAACATTGTTATGACTTATGAGGACCACTCTCCCAAATAACGGGGTGGACCTCAACCTGGCCTTGTCATTGAACATTGATTCCCATTGGTCATATAGCTTGTTTCCTTTGAGCCAGGCTTTGGTGTTCTGAACATGAAATATCGTGTACTGTTATTTATAATACTCATACCCATACCCATCACCCATTTGGGTGATGCGTATTATTTTCTTCTTTTTCGTTTTTATTCTAAATAAGAGAACTTGAGCATCCACTTTTTATTGAGTGATGCTGGATGACGAGGGATTTGCTTATTTAGCACTTGGGAAAATTCTCTCCACTCATCATATGATTCGTTAGAGTAGAAACTTGATCATGAACTTTGTGGCTCTCGTGCCTGTAAGTGCATGCAGCACTTCTCTCAACTTTCGAGAAGAAGAAAACATAAAAAAAAATGAGAGAAAAGATATAAGTAAGAATCTGCCAAACACAATAAAAATTTATTATAATTATTACTGTTGTTTTTTTTAAGAGAGAGAAAATATAATAGTTAAATTTTATGTATATTTACTTTCTTGAATTGTAATTATTATATATATAAAATAAATAGAATTTTGAGTGGAGGGACATTTATATTCTAATCAATCTTATAAATAATATATTTTAAAAAATACTTAAATAAAATCTTCTATAGACATTTTTAAGGAAATTTTTAGGAGAAATTACTTAAAAATAAATATAAATATTTTATTATGAGTCATATATACAAGTTGAAAGCGGTAACTTTTTTCTAATATTAAGTAATTTTTTTTAATTTTAAATAATTTTTTCTATATAATAAAATATTTATTTTTTTAAAGTAACTTATGTTCTAAATTTATTTATCTAATTAGATATATTTAATTTTAATATACAAAATTTAATAAGACACCATAAATTCATCTAACATAATATAGTTATTTTTTTCTATTTCTTCATTTATTTTCTTATTTTTCTCTTTCTTCATTTATTTTTTTATGTGTCCATTTAGTGTTACTTTTTCCCCCTTTTTTTCCTCTTTATTTTTCACTCATTCTATTTTATTCTTCAATTAAAAATAATATATTAAAATATGATAAAATGAGTATGTTATTATTATAAAATATAAAAATATTTAAATGATCTATAAATATTATAATTTAATATATTATATTTAAAATTATTATATTATAAATTTAAAATATTATAAATATTATTATTATGTTATAATTATTAATAAGAAAATAAATATTTATTTTAAATTAATTTGTAATAAATTTTTTTAAATTATCTAATCTAACTAATTATCATAATCCAATCTAATTATAAGTAGATTTAATTATTGAATACAAAATATATTTTACTTATAAATATTTTATATTTTTTAATTAGATAATATTTATTTATTATGATAAAATAATTTTAAATTAATTATTTATTGTCAAAATAAATAAAATTGTTTATTATTATCATAATTTTAAATAATTAATTAATATTTTTAGTTTTATGGTTAATTTTAAAATTTTTATTTTTTAATATATTTTTATTAAATTTTAATATAATAATTTAATTAGAATAATAAGTGAAAAAAAGATTGATGTATGTTATTTTACTCTTTATTTATTGATTTAAGAGTATTTTCTAATCTAGTTATTTTATTCATAAACCATACATTTAACATGTTTTCATTAAAAGTATAACATAATTCAATTTTTTTTTAATTTGTTGCATTTTACGTAGTTTTAGCATAATAAATAACATACATGCATACATATACGTTGCATATTTCTTTTTCTTCTTTTGCAAGAGAGATAATTTGAGACGAGTCAAATTGATACAAAGAAATATCTAAATTGATGCCGTGAAATTTTGATTTTTTTCCCACTTAACATTATTTTAACATAAATTTTCATATATAACATACTGTATGTAGTATTTACATGAGTAGCACATTTTTATAAAAAGTTAAACATTTCAAGATTTTTTTCTTCACTAGTATCTTATTAAATTTATAATCCAGAAATAACATTATTCTACAAATATTTATCGACTAGCACAATTTTCTTAGAGAATTTTTAGGAGGCCGAATTCCAACCTCACTAATTAATATAATTTTAAAAATAAAATAATATTTATTAAATATAATAATTAAATATAAATATATATATTTTATATAAAAAATATATATAAATATTATATATATATAATATTCTTTTAAAAAAATTTATTTATATAATTATATTATTAATATATTTTTTATAAATATAGTAAAAACAAATATATTTAATATATATATATATATACAATATTTAAATATTTATTTATATTTTTATAAATATAATATAATTTAATAAATATATATTTATATCTTTCTATATAACATTTCTACATAAATAAATTATATATATTATTTAAATATTTTTTTAATATAAAATAATTTTAATAAGTAAAAATAATATTTTTTTATAGAAATATATAAATATTTTTATTATATTTTAATATATTTTTACTATATTTATAAAAATATATTAATAATATAATTATATAAATATATTTTTATGTTATTTAAAAAAATATATTTATATTTATTCATATAATTATATAAATAAATTTAAACATATATATATAATATTTATATATTTATTTTATATAAAATATATATATTTATATTTAATTATTATATTTAATAAATATTGTTTTATTTTAAAAATTATATTAATTAGTGAGGTCGGGAACTGAATTTCAATAGTGTATGTAAAAATTGTGTTAATTAGGTAAATATTGATAGAATAATATTATTTCTGAATTATAAATTTAATAGCATGCTAATAATGTAAATATTGATAGAATGATGTTATTTCTGAAATATAAATTTAATAGCATGTTACTAAAGAAAAAAATCGTGAAACTTCACTCTTCTTGAAAACCCAAGTTTACTTGTGTAACCCACTTCCAGAATGTTACAAATGGAAATTTTGAATCAAGTAAATTAACTGGTGTGAGAATCTAATTTAGTTGAATTAAAGGCTAATAAGAAATCAAAAATTAAATACAAATCTGGATCACTCAAAATAGGAAAGAAACAAACTATTTTCTCCAAATTAGTCCCAGAAATTTCTCTCCATAACAATCAAAATTTGTAATTATTTATTTGAAAAATACTTTATTGTATTATAATTAATTTTAGACTTAATTTCTCTTATTCAAACTCTTATAAAAAGAGGTCTTATGATAACTCATAATCATAATCTCCTAGTCTAGGGTGAGAATTGCTATGTTGTCTCATTCCCATTTTCTTCTCCTATTTTCAATTCGTAGTTTAGTTTTTAGTTAGATGAGTTCATCTATTGCTACTTGTACTTCTTGTTTGTTCTCTTTTATTTAATTTATAATTTCTATTGAATTTTCCAGTTTAGCTTGCTCTAGTTATTTTATTTATTCAGTGCTCATTTTAATTTATGCTATTTAATTGTTTAGAATTTTTATTCTAGTATTGCATAATTTTCATATTCAATTCGTCTCATCTCCAATTCCAATTCGTAATTTAGTTTAGAGTTATTACTTTTAGAAATTTCACATTTAATTACTGCACTTGTTTTATTTCAAAGCAATTATTAATTTTTACATTTTTAATTAAAAACACTTTATTTTAATTTTATAAATTTCAGTTATTTAAATTTTGTTTCCATTTAATTTTAATTGTCGTTAATATTCTATAGCAATTTAATTTTTATTTTTATTATTTTACATCAATTTATTTCTTTTTCACTTTTCCATTCACCCCTTATTTACTATTTTAGAGAAAATGATACGTGATAATGAGTATGTTCTTATAATTGTGTCCTTGTGAGATTTGACATGGGTTAGCTATTCCGCATTAGTTTAACAACTTGTTTATTATTTTTATTAGTATTTTGTGCGACCAAGATGTTATTAAGAGAGACGTAAAATATAAAAAGGAAAAATAAGAATGACTAAACAAATTATAAAAAAAGAAAATAATTGTGTATAAATAATAAAAAAATCTACTTAAATAAAAAAATTAATAAAAATTTTATTTAAGTAATTTTTCTTTTAAAATATATTAATTATAAAATTCATTCTCAATTTTAGCCTTTTATTTTATGTTTTTTCTAAAAAATTTCAATTAAGAAAAAAAAAAACAAGAAAGAAGTGTTTAAACTTTTCTTTTTGCTATGCTTCTTTTCCTGTATTTACGAGGAATTAACAAGAAGATAGAAATGAAATCACAATCTAATAATATAAAACAAATATATTATATCATTTTTAATTTAAAATTTTAAAGTTATAAATTTTTTATTTGATCAATTTTCTCATTTTTTATATAAAATTTCAATTCTTATTTGTATTCTCAAACCTTTATTTTTGGTAGTTTATAATTACAATCACTATTCATCTCTACTTCTAATTTATGTTTCATTGTAATAATAAGATAATAATAAATTTGTAATTTAAAATTTTTATTAATATTATATTATTAAAATGGGTTATAGGATGAATATTTATTAGAAAATAATTGTCAACTTATATTTTTCCTTTATAATTTTTGAGTTTTGAGGGTGGGGTTCTTTTTGGGATTTGAGTGACGTTTTTTGCCCTTCTTTTATATTCTCTTTCATTGTCTTTCAGTGAGTTTTTTATTCTTCTAGCTTCTCCCAGTTTGATATTATTTCTCTAATCATCCTCAAAGAGATAATAGATTAGATATCTGAAAATATAATTTTTTTCTTATAACTTTCATTTTTTTTTTTGCATTTTCCAAATACAGTAATGTTACTGTGTTTTAGGAAGTATAAATTTATTAATTTTATTGATTCTAATTTTCATATTTGACAGAGTAGTAACTTTTGCCTAAGATATTAAGAGGTAATATATTTCGACAAAATCACAATTTGTAGGATAAAGTTGGATTATGTTCAATTCACTTAATTCTTAATTAAAAATTACTTAAATAATTACTATTATTTTACTTCAATGAATATTTATTTAAATATAAATGTTTGACATGAAATTTATTATATTAGTATAATTAAGATCAATAAATGCGTATTTTTTATTTTAAATGTTTTTATTTAATTTTGAGATGTTTTGATAAATAATGGGAGGAAGATGATGTTACAGTCTTTAATGGTAGAGTTCTTGAAATTTTATTTTGGACAAAAATGATAGAGATATATAAAATATAAGTGAGAGAGACTTGCATATTCACTGAGTTTTGGATTGAATATGGTTTAATATTTTCGTATATAATTAATTCATGGTCTTACCAATATTCAAAACAGATGGCCTTTGATTATGGATATTTCTATAGAAATTTGACAAGAATTTTGTACATAAAAATTCTAAAGGGAATATCAATGTGTAGAGATTATATTAACATCATATGAGGAGATTAAAAAAATATCAAATATTTTAAAAATAATTTTTACATATTATTTTTTCTTAATTTATTCAAGTATTGATTAAAAATAAAATTAAATTTGAGTTCAAAAGTAAAAAAAAAATGTGAAATTTATAGACGTACTCAAATTATTAAATTCTCGTTTTGAATACAATGTTTTAATCTTAAGTTTAAGTTTCTTTTTAGATAAATTTATGATATAATTAAATAAATTCTAAAGTAAATAATACCTTAAATATAATAGTTAATATTTAAGATATTATTACAATGAATTCTGAGATTAGCATTATATATGAAAATATAAAAATATAATTTTAAATTATTTAAAAAATAATTTATATATACTCTCTTGTTATTTATCGGTCAACTATAATAAAATCAAACATGAAGATATCAAAATTAAATTAAGAATTTAATACATATAATAACTGTGATGTTATTTTATTAATTTAAATTCATATATGTTTTAAAAATATAATTTTATAATAAAAATTATTTTCTAATTATATATTGAAAACTATTTTAAAGTTAATTTAAAAAATTATTTCATTAATAAAAAATTTATAAATAATTTTGTTATTATATAATTATTTAATTAGATTTTCTTTCTTATTAATTTTTTAAATCATACTTTCTTATTTATTCTTTCAAAAGAACAAATATAATTTTTTTTATTTCATATTTCTTTATTTCATCATTATCAAACCAACCCTAGATTAGATAAACGTAACACTTTTTATTTCTAATATTTTAATTTAAATTAAAACGATTAAAATTTTGAAATAAACCGAAGAAAGAGAAGCTATACATAAAAGAAGAGTATGGATCTATCTGATCCACACAAACGCGTGAGATAAATGGGCCGCATCCCAATGCGAACCCAATCTTATCCTATTCTCACAACAGAGTCCAAAACTGTTCAACGATCTTCTATCTAATTCTTTCAATGCACAACACCGTAACGTAACGGAACAGAGAGAAGAAGTATAAAGTAGAAGTTACTGGAAAGTTGAAATCAGATGGTGCGGGTCCCGTTCCAACCCCCACACTCGAACACAATAAATAAACCGAACTCAAACTGGTAGGTTTCGTTTGGTTGTTGCGACGTGAAGCCATGGCGGATTCTTCAAACCTGAAATCCGACGCGATCATGGAGCAGATGAAGCAGCACCTCGCCACAGACGCAGGAAAACAGGTCACGGAAAAAATTGGACTCGTTTATCAGTTTCACATTGCTCCTAAGGTAACCTTCCGTCTTCGTTCTTCCGACTCTTTGTTTAACCTAATTGTTGTGAATTCTATTATCGGTATTATTGATTGCCTTTGATTTGTAGAAACTTGGATTCGATGAGGTCGTCTACACCGTTGATCTCAAGAAAGGAGAGGTCACCAAAGGTTAGCAAGCTTCCTTTCTTTCCATTTCACTTTTCAATTGTTTTTTATATATTCTTAGGTTTTCGATTGGAATTACAATCAGAGACTGAATCATGATCGTGAACCTTTGAATTCACTCTCCCACCTGAATTAAAATGTTGCTGCTATGCGTGCAATGTAGAGAAATCTCAATGATAAGCAATATACAGTATTCATTGTACTGATCATGGTGAAACTGCGTGTTAAACAAATTATAAAAATTTAGAAAAATGAGAAAAATGAAATAAAGTTCTCCAATTTGTTTAAGTTAAATGTAAAATTTTAGAGAAAGAGCTTTTACAAATTAGCTATTTATACCTAAGCTGTATGAGAAACTCGTCTAATCGGGTTCATAGTTTCACCCTAATCACTATAACCCTGTGTGTTACAGAGGTAGATCAGGGTTGTAGAATTTTCCTCTCATCTTTTTGTGATCACTATCGAGGCTTGCTGCCAAATCTTGTGATAAGTAAAAAAGAGCATACAAAATTTTACAACACCTTGTTATATACAATAAAATTGTGTTAACTACCTTAAAGTCGCATCATTGATTACTATATTGACTGTATATTGTCATCCTTTTAGAGTCTAATTGCTAAACAGTCAGTGGAACTTTTGAAATAAACTTGTTATGCAAATGATTGAAATAATACTTTAATTTTTAATTAAAGGAATAGAAATGAAAATATTTAATATACTACATTTAAATTGTCTAAAGCTAGCAAATCAGCTTTTATGCACTGGCCTCTAGAACGCACGCTAAATTGATTTCAATCTTTCTAGGGTAGACTGCTTTTATTGGCACTCAGATATTAATCAACAGTTTTTCTAGAAATCAGATGTTTTTACACGGTCGTATCCATTATGAATATTTATTTGGGTTTGTGTGTGTATTTAGGGCCATACGAAGGAGGAAAACCTGATGCATCCTTTTCATTTAAGGATGAGGACTTTGTTAAGGTTGCCTTGGGAAAGATGAATCCACAGATTGCTTTCATTAGGTTCAACTTTTCATTGGATATTTTCCTTCTAAAATCATTTCTTTTTTCGTTGTATTTTCTTCTTTGTTAAACATCCATGTTCTTGATGTGGTGGTGAATGAATGTAGGGGTGCGATGAAGATTAAGGGAAGTTTGAGTGCTGCTCAGAAATTTACTCCGGATATCTTCCCAAAACCTTCCAAGCTGTGAGCTGAGATGCTTTCAATAGATTGCAGGAGTTATCGATTGGCTGCAGTCAAACAAAAGAGATAGCATCAAAATTTGAGGAATATAATTATATCGTTAGTCAATACATGGATCATCATTACTAAAGTTGTAGGTGATTCATGATTTTAATATGGTCCTGAATACTGAAGTATATTTATACTGTTCTGCAAATCTGCCATAGATCTTTATTCCACTGCGATTGGATTTTTTAAGTTTTAAAATAGTTCATCATGCATTATTTACCACCACTTTTGGATTCATTCTGGCAGAAATTCTCGGATTAATGCATTGCTTTCTGACTATATGTTCTGATTTTTTATCATGTGTCTACACCCTGGATTAGGGATCTGTAACTTTGCTAATGTTTTATGATCAACCACTAGCGGCAACTCTTTTAAGCTTTCCTGTTTCAGCGCGGTATATCACAGTTAATATTTCTTCAAATAACATTTCAGGGTCAACATCAACATTGTAATTGTAATCTGTTGTTTCTTAGGTGCTGAAAAATAATAACTAACAAGTATCGCTCTGTCAAATGGTCATTTTCCTGTTGGGAGTGAAACCATGATGCAGTTTCACTGATCAAACATCCACGTAGACGTAGATGCAGAGTTACTTTAACTGGGAAAGTACATTGAGTTATTCTTTAAATTACCTTGTTTTTGGATTGGAAATTTACAATTCAAATTTTACCTAATAGTTGATAATTTAAAATTCTTAGTATTTTTTTCTTTTCTCATTTTTTTTAATCTCAATTGGAATAATTTTGGTGTGTTTCGATTTATGTTGATCCGTCTCAATTTTGTTTTATCCAATTTGGAACCTTTTCACTCTAATAAGAATTTACTTTATCTAAGTTTCATTTGACTAAACTTATTTCAATTTAGCTCGTTCTAGTTCATTTTCTTGGTGTTGTTTAGTTTTTTTCTTGTTGACTTGTGGTATTAGGTTCTAATTAACTCGACCTTGATGAAATCTAATTCGATTTGTCTTGTATGATTTGAAACTATTTTATCTCAGTCTTACTTGATTTAATTTTTATGATCTAATATCAAACGATTTTGATGAAGCTAAATTTTATTAGTATGATGTGTTTTGATTTGACCTAATCGATTCCACTCATTAGGATATGCATTGACCGAATTTGATTATGGGATAAGAGTAAAATAATATGAATTATATTTAATTAATAAATTTAGGGATGATAACTTTTTTATTTGATATTGTTTGAAATACTATATTTAAACAAATAAATTAAAATTAAATAAATTTGAATATAATTATTTAAATAAAATATTTTTAAAATTACATAATTTAAAATAAAAATAATTTAAATTCAGAATATTTAAATTTCATAAATATTATAAAATATCTTAAGATGGTACCTAATGTGGGTAAAATCTATCGGTAATTCTATTATTGGTAAGATTCAAACTCCGTACTTTAAAATTATAGGCTAATACTCCAACCACTAGGTTACTAATTTTTTTTAATAATAATTTGTAAATAAATTATATTTATATACAAATAAATGTATATCCGTGTAAATATGAAATATATAAATACAAATATATGTATATATTTACATCTTTTGATATATTTATATAGTTATATATTTATATGTTGGATGTGAAGGCGCGTTTAATGGTAAAAGTGTGTGTCATATTTATTAGAATATATTTAAAATTAAGTAATTATTATATAATTTTAAATATTTAATTTTTTAATTTAATATTGATTTTTAAAAATATATTTTAAATCCATCGGTAAATTCTTCGATAAATGAACAAATAATTACCGATAGATATATCCGTCGATAACTAATTTTCTATTTATCAAAATTATTAATTTACCGACGAGATATATCTGTCGATAATTACTTGTTCATTTATTGATCAGATTTATCGACAGATATATTTGTCGATAATTATTTATTTATTTACCGATCGGATATATTTATTGGTAATTAATTATTCATTTACTGACGGATCCGTCAGTAATTAATTATTCATTTATCGACAGATATATTCGTCGATAAGACCAAATTCTACAACTACTCTAAATCCGTCGGTAATATAAAATTTTCTTGTAGTGAATGTTTATCTTGTAAATAATTGTAAATAACCTCAAAATTACTTTTTTTTTTCTCCTACTTTAGTATTTGAGAAATAAATTAAGAAAGAAAAAATAGTTTCTCCTTTAAAGTTCTCTTAGAGTGATATTCCTTTATTTTCGAGAGAGGGTATTATTTTATCCTCCTTGGAGGTAGAGAGAATGGTTGCAATTTCATTCATTAGTAAATTTATCCTTTTGCCTATTGTTGATGTTTTTTCATCTTTTTATTTTAGTTGTGTATGCTTATGCGTTTATCTAATACCTAACAATGGTATCAGAGTCACTAAGTTGTGATATTGTTCTTTTACTGCATAGTCATTAAAATAATGTTGGAGAAAATTTTTAGTATGCTATGTGGGTGTAGTTAATTTGATCTTTCACAATAGAAAAAAGTTATTCTTATCACTGAATATTATTTGGTAGTTCGAAAGTGCATATCTAGGAAGGTTCTGACAAGGAAAAACTTGGTATTTAAGCATGTCCATTAATGACCCACCTCTTTTTTTTGGGAACTTACCTAATGTACTAGTTCACGGTCTACCGTTGTTGTTCTAGTAGATAATACTATTCATAGTGAGGATTGTATAAGTTGATTTGGAACCATGACACCAAAATATGAGATAGAGAAGTTCAATGAGAGTAATTTCTCATTATGGAAATTGAAGATAAAGACAGTCTTGAGTAAGAACAACTATATTAATGCAATTATGAAAAAAACTATGGAACACAGGATGAACGGTGATAGAAAGAAATGAACGATAATACTATTGTGAATTTTCCCTTAACAATGACAAATTCAGTTTTACCCAGTGTTATAGAGAAGACTACTACGAATGATATTTGAGATATCTTCATTAGACTATATGAGGTGAAGTTACTTCATACAAAAATATTCTTGAAGAGAAAATTCTATTCTCTTCAGATGAGTGAGTACATACCACATCAACCATTTAAATACCATGTTTGTCCAACTATCAATGACACATTTCAACATAGTTGAAACTGAACGTACAAAGCTTCTACTTCAGAGTTTACCTGATTCATATGATCAACTCATAATCAATATTATAAATTATAATATTGATGAGAATATGCACTTTGAGGATGTCGCCAAAACTATTCTTGAAGAAGAATCCAGGCGGATGAGTAAAGGCGAAAGTTCCAAACAAGAAGAGGATTTGACGATGATGAGAGAAAAATCAACGGAACGTGACTCCAGTAGGAATCAAAATCATGATAGGTCGAACTATCGAAGTAAGAAAAGTTCCAAAATCAAATGCTACTATTGTGGCAAGAAAAGACATATGAAGAAAAAGTGTGGGAAGAAGAAGAATGGAGGAAACAACTCTGAAACATCAATCCCACAAGGTTGTGTTGTAAGTACCTCAGAAGATAGAAATATTCTGGTGAGCGAAACAGTAGTTAGCTCTAATGGTGAAAAGGAGTTTAATGACAAGTGGATAGATGATTTAGGTGCAACTTGACACATGATTTCACACCGAGATTGGTTTCACACTTATGAACTTGTCTCAGGTGGATTCGTCTTCAAGGGAAACAACCATACCTTAAAGATTGTTGGAGTTGGTACTATCAAAATTAAAATGTATGACGATACTATTAGTACATGTCAAGGGGTACAACATGTGAAGGACTTGAAGAAGAATCTATTGTCCATTGGGAAATTAGATGACCTCGTGTGTAAGATCCATGTTGCAGGATGAATCTTGAAAGTGGTGAAGGAGAATTTGGTGGTCATGAAGGAAAAGAAGAGTATGGAAAATTTGTATGTGTTGTTTGAACATACGTTGCAAGAAGCGAATGCATTAATTGTGACAGAAAGTTAGGAAGATGCATTGATCGTGTGACATTGTAGATGTGGTTGTATGCCAGAAAGTGGTATGAAAATCTCTTACCCAGGATTATAGAAGTTAGTTTACCCTTATGCGAGCACTATGTGATAAACAAACAACATAGATTGAAGTTTGCTAGAGTGAATACTAAAAGTAAACACATATTGAACTTGATTTATTTTGATGTGCGGGAATCGCTGGTACTATCCCTCGGAAGAGCAAAATATTTTGTATCGTTCGTCGATGATTACTGTAGGACATTGTGAGTGTACCTTATCAAGAAGTCAGTTGTATTTTCAAAGTTCAAGGAATTCAAAACACAAGTAGAACTTGAAACTGGGAAAAGAATTAAGGGTTTGAGGATAGCTAACAGAGGAGGATATGTAGGTGAAAATGTTTTAGCATTTTGCAAGCAAGAGAGTATCATTAGAAAATTTTCTGTGTCACACACGCCTCAACAAAATGGTATAACAGAGCGGATAAATAAAAATCTCCTAGAAAGAACTAGAGCTATGTTGCGAATAGTTGCAATAGCCAAGTCTTTTTGGACAGAAGCGGTTAAAACTGTATGTTATATTATATATCGATCACCGTCAATAATCATTGGTTTGAGCACACCAATGGAGATGTGGAAAGGTAAACTAGCTGATTATTCATCCTTATGTGTTTTTGGTTGTCCTGTGCATGTGATGTACAACTCCCAAGAAAGAATAAAATTGGATCTAAAATCTAAGAAATGTATCTTTTTGGACTATGCTAACAATGTGAAGGGGTATTGCATGTGCAATCCCATTGCTCACAAGATTGTTATTAGTTGAGATGTAGTCTTTACAAAAAATGAACTGCAAAGTGAGTAGACAAATAGCAAGGTTATAGTACAGATAGAGAAGAATCCTTTACATGAGTCGTCTGAGTTAGAAGAGGAGCACGATGATCAAGAGCCAAATGAGGTTGTTAATGGAAATCTCAGATGATCAACACGAGAAAAAGCCAGACCATCTCAACATTCACAACATG